GAGAGCCTTGGGAAATGGATGCTGAACTTCCAGCACCTTCTACACTAGCTTTTAAATTGCACTTTCTAAAGAGGAAAAAGATGGAAACATGAGGAAGCCATACTTAGGGAGGTAGTCCTTCTCCGCTGGCCCTCAGGCCTGTTCTGTGGGTGCACCCGGTGGGGTAAAGGTTTCTAGCCATTCCTCCAGATTTTTCTGCTCATAAATGTGTTTTTTAATTACATAGTTGAGATCTATTTTGCTACTTGATGTTTTTATTTAACAGTGTATCTTGGCTATCTTACATGTACAGATCTATTCCATTCTTCTCACCACTTAGTCGTCCATTGATTAACTAGTCCTTATTGCATGTATTTAACCAGTTGCATGTGGATAGACATTCAGATTGTTTACAGCTTTTTTTGTTTTGTATTCCTATGTAAATGATGTTGTGCATAGATCCTTGTACATATTTATTAGCACACGTGTACAAATCTTGGAGGCGATCACCCACCTCCCACTTGGGAGTTTCCAGAAGGTCAAAGCAGCCCAGATGCTTTTGGAAAAGGTTACTTCATGCCCAGGCCCCCTCCCAGCAAAGGGTTCTAAGGGGGACCGGGCGGGGACAGAGCCAGAGCTGCCTGGAAGGGGGGTGAGTTGCATCCAGAGTCCCCACTTGCCACCAAGCCTGGGTGGGGAGACAGTGCCTGTAGTGCGTCAGGGAATTCACCAGGAGAACGCAGACCTCACCCAGGCCACCCCAGGGGCCGCTGGCTCCAAGCCCTGGAACAGGCCCCATGAGGACAAGTGACATCAGCAGCCTGGGAGCTAGACTCTCCCGTTGCCGCTGAGATTTAACCGCTGAGAGCCCAGACCCAGAAGTGAGCAGGTGCAGGTGCAAAGGGCTGGGTTCAGGGGTGAGTCCATTGAGAGTGTCCTCTTGTCCCCACTTTATGCTTTCCTGGTTACTCTCAAATGTTTGTTTTTCCAGATCAACTTTGATATAATTTGTTATTACCTCCGAACCCCCCAAATACTCTTGGTCTTCAGTTGGAATTGAGTTATGGGAGAACGGACATTTTTTACAACATTTGAGTCTTCCTGTCCAAAACAAGGAATATCTTCGTCTGTATCTAAGTGAACTGACATCTTTCTATCAGCTCTTGGCTCTGGGGTGGCAAGCCACACACGGGGGCCAGCAATATGTGAAGTTTCTCTAAGACCCCTCCCTCTCTCCAGGCTTGTCTGCCCCACGGCAGATCACGCCCAAGGAGGCAGCCTTTCTACACAGTTAACCCAGGTTCACTGTCACGGTAGATGCCTCCTTGAAAAGCCAGCTCCAAGCGGTCGGCTGTAACCTCACCGGCACCAGGCGGTACCTCTACCAACTGTTACTTAAGGAGCTGGAAGGGCTGATCTGTGTAGCTTGTAAAGCTTGGCAGAAATATCTTGGTCACCTTTATGGGCTCCCAGGCAGCGGCATTGCTAAACATCCTGCTACTAATGTTCCTCTTTTACAGCACTTTTAAACCAATTTTCAAGTGAGTGTCATAAAATCACTCTATCCAGGAAGTCAGCCCCATAATCTCCAGGACATAAACTTTAAAAGCAATGTGTAAAATGCCAATGGGACGCCCTGACTTGCCTCCACTCTGTGCTCAGGTGTGAGTTTATTAGCAAAGCATTAGGCCGTAAAGGTCCACTTGAGAGAGCAGACTGAAAGCGCACCGGTTGTAGGTGGGGCCTGTCAGGTGGTGAGAAACTGATCTGGGAGGACAGGAAAATTACTCCAATGTCAGCAGCGCTTGCTAATTTCCAAAGTGTTTACCTTCTGGGGGGGTTTCTATGACTGTAAAACATTGACACACACACACACACACACACACACACACACACACACACACACACAAAACAGCCTGAGAGGGACCTCCCCGGCGGTCCAGTGGTTAAGACTCCACACTTCCAATGCAGGGGACAAGGGTTCCATCCCTGGCCAGGGAACTAAGATCCCGCATGCCGTGGCCAAAAAACTAAAAAATTTTTTTAAAGATTAAAAAAAATTAAAAAACAGCCTGAGACCCTCGTGTTGCATCGTGTTTTATTGGGTCATGCGTTGCAGTAGAATTTCTCACTGTCATTGTTGTCTTTTTGTGTATTTGTCTCCCTTAGTGTCAGTTCTCTAAGGGCAGGGCCCACGCCTGCAATTTCCCTCTCCGGCACCTGACACTGTTCTCACAGAGCTTCCTTGGAAAGGCTTGCTGTCGACAATGACCCGGAGGTCACAGCCGGGAACAGGCTAGTAGAGGCGCCTGTTTGTCTCTGCGTCAAGAAAAGCGTTGCTTTGGAAAACACTTCATTAACCTGATGTTTGTCTGATGGGAGCCATGTGTGCCTGGGCTTGAGTGTCACAGAACGTTAGCAGCAGTTGGGGTCCCTCTCCCCGACCAAGGCTGGCGCCTTGGCTGGAGGCTTGAGCCTCACCCCACCCCACCCCACCCGCCTCGCTGTTTGTCCTGCTCGGGAAGGGGAGTTCTGAGGAGGAGGCCGGGCAGGGCTAGGGGGCAGCAGTGGCACATGAAACGCACCTGAAAGCGCGCCAGTGGCTGCACACTCTCCCAGGTCCCCACGGGGCTCCTCTGATTGGTTCTTCCTGCTGCTGGGCCCTCAGAGCCACCAGTCTCTCTCCATGCCAGGGTCCCAGGTGTTGAGCATAGGAGCCCATCACAAATCACAGGACTGGCATATTTTGCACCAAAGGTGATGCTATTTATCCTACTTATCTTTACACTGAATTTTTCTTTATCATGGACTTAGCCCGGACCTTAGAGCAGTATCTTTTAGTGGAATCAACTGACAATGTTACAGAAGAAGAAACAGGCTGAGAGAGGAGAATGCTCCACGGTCTGGCTCCTGGTTCCTCCTTTACACCTCATAGATTCCCCCAATGTGAGAAAAGCAAAATAAACTACGGTTGTTCACGGCAGAATGGACCTTAAAATGAGAATCTATCCTAATTTATTAGTACTTCCCAAACTGGAACGAAAAATTTTATCACTAATAATGTTTTACTTTTATGGGTATTTTGTAGCTCACAAAGCACATGTTATCCATTATTTAAATTCACAATAACCCAACAAGATAAACTAGGGTTGTCATCCCTTTTTAACAGATGAGGAAACTGAAATATAATGAGGTAAAATAACATACCCAGGCTTGCCGTTAGTAAACCACAGAGGCAATTCCAACCTTCAGATCTCTGTGCCAAGTCCAAAGCTCACTCTCCCGCTCTACAGAGCCATCCCAGGAGAAGGGATGAGTTATAGATAGGGACAGAGATACAGTTACAGTGTGGACAGATGCAGATGTAGAACAATCATAGCTACAGATATGGGTAGAGATGTAGTTGCGGTTTTGCTATGGATGTGAATATAGATGTGGTGGTGGTTATGGATGTAGAGGTAGATATATAGTTATAGAGAGACATAGAGATGGAGATGGAGAAGGACATGCAGGTGGGGATGGAGATGCAGATGGAAATGGAAATGGAGAAGGAGATGCAGATGGGGATGGGGATGCAGAAGGGGATGGAGATGGGGATGGAGATGCAGATGGGGACAGAGATGGAGAAGGAGATGCAGATGGGGATGGAGATGGAGATAGAGATGGAGAAGGAGAAGGAGATGCAGGTGGGGATGGAGATGGAGATAGAGATATGAAATGCCCCTTGAGCTAGCCGAATTAAAATTCTAATATGCAGCTAGAAAACCCTGGGTCTAGATACTCTAGCTCCCGGCCATTCCCTTCTGTTCACAGAAGATCTTGTTTAAGGGAGATGATGCCATAGAAATGATGTCTGCCAGGCTGAAGAGTTCTGGGACTGCTGGTTCCATGTACTGAAAGGGATGATAAAATTTCCCTTTCTCTTGTTCATCAAAATTAGCCTTTAGGACTTCCCTGGTGGTGCAGTGGTTAAGAATCCACCTGCCAATGCAGGGTACACAGGTTCGATCCCTGGTCTGGGAAGATCCCACATGCTGCGGAGCAACTAAGCCCGGGCGCCACAACTACTGAGCCCACGGGCTGCAACTACTGAAGCCTGTGCGCCTAGAGCCCGTGCTCTGCAACAAGAGAAGCCACCGCAGTGAGAAGCCCGCGTACTACAACAAAGAGTAGCTCCCACTCACCACAACTAGAGAAAGCCCATGCGCAGCAATGAAGACCCAGCGCAGCCTAAATAAATAAATAAATAAAAATCAGCCTTTAATATATTTAGAAATTTTGGAGCTCCCTGGGACATTCTGGGATGTTAGTTTATATATAGCCCTACTTTGTTTTTATATATTTGAAAAATAAAAGGTGAAACTCAAAGGAAAAAATGAATAGTAAAAATATTTGTTGTAATTTTTACTATTATAAAATTAAATTATATTTTAAGAGTTCCAATACATTTCTAACTGTGGTAGATTTTAAGGTAATTATGTGTCTCTTCGGTAATATATTTGCTATCAACTTATTGCATAAAAGGATTACTTGCGAATTCAAGATTATTTTTAGATTTATAGCCCTTTCAAGTGAAAAGGGGGTTTTTCAGGAGTACTTCTGATTTCCAGTTTCTGGTGAATTTTCCATTTGCCATCAATAATGCTCCCTGCAGAAATCCCCCTTCATGTAAATCGAGCCTGACACTCCTATAATGCACAGTGCAAAAGAGCGCTCTTAGGGCAGGGAATAACGTGCATGAATTATGTCAGGCCACCATGCAGAAACCGTTCATCCCACAATTTATGAATGCAGATGCTCCCAAAACATGTTTTGGTATTCTAAAGAGATGTACGTGTTTTTATATTCATTGGCTATCTTGATAAATGTTTATTGTGGACACAGCAAAAACTGCTGATTTGAAAAGATATTTTTGTAAACCTTTTTCGGCCTACCTCTAATGTTTATTACTCACATGATCAAAATTGTATGGCTCTGTTACCCAGTCTAATGTTGTTTTTGTTGTTTTGATTTTTCCAAAGTAAAGTCTTTGTGAAAGGCATCAGTTGGAACCTCAGAGTTTGGCTTTCTCTGCAGGTGTGCTGGGGGCCTCAGCGTCCGTGTGCCTCAGCTGCCTGGGCTCAGTCTGTCCAGGAGGGATTTGGAAAGGACCCAGGTAAGTAGCAGAGATACAGTTAAAGATGCTATAGTATATCATGCTATGTTGTGTTACTTTACGTTACCTTATATTACACTGTGTTATATTACACTTGTGCTGTGCTGTGTTGCATTATGTTGCTCATACTATATATCATATCATATATTATTACATTATATTGTTTTAGACTATAGGGCTATGGTTGCAATGCAGAAAAATAATTTTGTCTGAGTTGAGGATGGAGTTAGTGTTTGGGCTGAATGACACACTGTCACACTGTCCTCATTCCCTGGATAGTTGCTCTTCTCTTCACTTTCTGTCCTATGACTTGATCATTAAAGTCTGGGCTTTGATTTGTTTGTTTGGTGGTTTTGAAAATGAAAGGCTGAGAACTCACGCTTACCCAGCCTCCTGTCTTCATGTGGGGGGGGGGGGCTGTGTGTGTGTGTTTGTGTGTGTGTGTTCCTGAAAATCTCAGGGGCTGGGATTCTATAATGTATCTCAGGGACCAGTTCTCCTATCTACGCCCCTGAGTCATCAGCCTTCATTCACACATATGTAGAAGCTGGCGGATGCTCTGACTTCCCCTCCAAGGCTGTCCGCTCAGCGCTTCTCACAGTGATGTCTGTCTTGCTTAGCTCCTGGCCAGTGTCTGGGAGTGGAATTTAGTCTGTTATTTGAATAACAATTACAAGAAAAAGCATGCAAATAGACGTGTAACATTAACTGAGGGATTATTTTTGAAAGACACTTTTAATCACCTTCTTATAGTTAGGTCATTGAAAAGAAACCATTATTCTTTTTGTGAAAGATTGCTCCAGAAGCATTAGAAATCCAAGTAGGAATAAATCGATTAATTTTCAAAACTTGCAGGGATAAACTTTATTCTGAAATCATGGACGTTCTCTTCTAATTAAATTCAAATATGGTTAACTCCTTTCAGACATATTACAATAATAAATAGTAGACTGGGGCGGTGGTGGTGAATATCCTTTACCCCTGTAAATAATTAGATTGGTTGGCTAATAGAGCATAATGCCTAACACTGTAAAAATCCCAACCTTCTACATCTGTCTCATTAGCAAAAATAAATAGGTTTGTGTTAGGCCGACACACTAACGCAGGAACCCAGTATTGTTCCAGGACCTGCCAAAGGAGGGGAGGACTCTTGCTGGCAGTGGGTATCAACATGGTTTTCCTCTTCCTACAGAGAGAGTGGGATGTGATTAGATTAGCAGCTCTCACAGCTACACTGCTGGTCGGTAACAGCCGAGGGGCAGAGACAGGTAACTGCCAGCCGAGGGGTGGAGACAGGAACCGGTTCTCCCTAGGGGGCCCCGGGGGCATGGCAAAGAGCTTCTTTCTGCTTCGCAGAGATGGGTGATGAGGGTCCAGTGAGATGATGCCAGTGGTCAGTGTGAACGTAGTGGGCAGTGTGAACATGGCGACAGCCCAGCCAGACCCCCCTTCAGTGCTTCCCCAGACATACCCATGCCCTCACTCTTCCCTCAGGGTGTTTACAGAGTCACACTGACATTCTTCCATCCATGAATGCTTGCCAAGGAGGAGAATCAGGCTTGCACTGTGGGCCACGTTTGCACTTGCCTGATCTATACTAGGAAATTGTTGTCCATCCTTTGTGTTCTAAGCAGGGTGACCTGATATCTTGTTTGGGGGTGAAGAAGACTTCAATCACTCTCTTTTCTTTCTTTTTAGTTTCATCCGTTCAGTTCACAAGTATTGACTTTCTCTGTGCTCAGCACTATTCTAGGCACTGAGAATATTTGCATAAATAAAGTTGATAAGTACGTACATAAATACAGAACAGTACTTACAGCCCTCAGCTGTCCTATGCTTATAATTTAGGAGAGAGACAAATGTAATTGAGAATTATAATTAATAACTTAATCAATTAAGTAACAGGTAATGATTGATAAATCCTGTATTGAGAATTAAAATATGATCTTTTAGATAAAGAGCAGATTAGGTCTAGAAAGACCCAAAGGAGAACTCTGAAAGGTGGGAAAAGAAAAGTGGATCGGTTAGGGGCCCAGGCTGGAGGTGTACCAGGGCAGGGGGCATCACACAACCCCCGACCAGCATCAGGCCAGGCATCTCCTGACCCACAGCCCTGAACAGAAGGTGGGGCAGGTAGGCTCATCCCTCCTCCAGGTCCAGTAGGAGTTCTGCCCACTGACAAGACCAGGTGACCCAGCAGCATCAGCAGAGGACTGACCAAAAGTGGCCCTCCCTCACCTAGAAAAACTGGACGACCAGGGGCTCCAGGGGAGGAACCCACCATCTGGCCCAGGAAACACTCCAGGCTCTGGGGCTGGGAACTCTCCCTGCTGGAAGGCATCAGGTGGTCTGGCCTGGGGAAGATGCCCCCACCCACTTAGGTGGCACCAGCAGGGACCAGGGGGAGCCCCACCAGCACCAGATAACAAGCAGACTGAACACTCCAAGCACTAAAACTGCCATTAGAACCACAGCCCAAGGAAGCAGGCCAAGAACTGTATGCTAAACTTAAATGGGGTGACCACCTGCTGAAATAAAAGATCCAAATTGCACTGAGTCTCCTGATATAATAGCTGCAACGTCCAGGATACAATCGAAAATTGCATGTCATTCCAAGAACTAGGAGTATCACAACCAGAGTGGGAAAAGACGATCAACCAATATCAACACCAAGACCAGATCAGATGTTGGAATCATCAAACAGGGTTTTAAAGTAGCTGTGAACAAAAATGCATCAGTGAGTCATTACAAATTCTCTGAAAACAAAAAAGTAGAAACCTCAGCAGAGAAATAGACATTATTTTTTAAAAAAAATTATAGAACTGAAAATTACAACAACCAAAATAGAAAACTCACTGGACACACTCAGGAGTGGAGCGGGGATGGCAAGGGCTAGGATCAGTGACCTTGAGGACAGATCAGCAGAATCTACACAATCTCAATAACAGAGAGAATAGACTGAAAAAAAAAATGCACAGAGCTTCAGGGACCTGTGGGACAATAACAAAAGATCCCACACTCACAACCTCAGAGTCCCAGAAGAAGAGAAAAATAGTAGAGCTGAAAGAGGATTCCACAAAATAATAGCTGAAAAATTGTGAAATTTGGTAAAAGGCATAAACCTACGGATTCAAGAAACCGAACTTATCCTAAGCAGGATAAACCCAAAGAAATCCATCCAAGACACATCATAATTAAACCTCGGGAAACCAAAGACAAAGAAAAAAAAATCGTGAAAGGCAAATTACTGATAGATGAACACCAATTCGAATGACAACAGATTTGTCATTGGAAACCCCAGAGGCCAGAGGAAAAGGCATGACATTTGTCCAGTGCTGAAAAAATGACTTGTGAGCCACAAATTCTATAGCCTCAGTGAAAGTATCCTTCAGGAATAAAGGGAAAGTAAAGACATTCTCAGAAATAAAAAAACTAAAAGAATTTGTCACTAACAGACCCACCCTTCAAGCATGGCTAAAGGAAGTTCTCCAAACATTAAGGTAATGACAAAAGAAGGAATCTTGGAGCATCAGGAAGGAAGAAGGAAGGACAGAAAGAGCAGAAATAGGGGTCAACGCAACAGGCTTCCTTTTCCTCATGAGTTTTCAAAGTCACGTTTGATGATTGCAACAAAAATTGTGACACTGTTCAATACCCAGGACCAGGGTGTTTAAAAGTGGAACCTAAATGGAAGTACAGTTTCCACACTTCACCTCCAGTGGGAGGATGGGCCACGACATCACAGCCACTCCCTGAGTGCTCATCAGAAGAAGCTGAGCTGGAGCAATCACATGGCAAAAGCTGTTACCAAATTTGGGGAAAACATGTTGAAATTTGCATTATTCCCACTATATCAGTAAGACCCGATGCTCAGTTGAACCATACTTAAAATGTGAGTATTCAAAGGTGAGTGCAGAAAAATCCCTCTTGCTTATCCTTCCTCTGGCTCAACATTAGTCAAACCTGCTAATGCACAAATTTCCTCATCTGGTTACAGAGACAGTGCCTTGGATCACAACGGCTGCCTGTGTTTGCTGTTGTGATTTTAAGACTATTACATAAAAAGCCATCGCTCTCTAGCACACACACCCAGAAGGTCTTATTTGGCATTGAAAGTGGTCTGTGATTTTCTGCTTTACGTGGAGCATCGCCTCCATTATTCATTTTATTCCAATAACGCTAGCATTGCTGCCATCTGAAAAGAGAATGCACCCTGCTAAACTGGCAACCAAGAAGCAGAGACATAGCAACAAACAAGAGAACGGAAAAGGAGACAAGGGATGCTAACAGAAAACAGGGACCAGAAGGGGAGCCCTGAAGATGAGGGTCCTGTGGCTCCTGAGACCCTGGGGAGGAGCAGGGGCAGGGAGGTGACAAGCCCCTGCCCTCCCCTGGGAGCTGGGGACTGGGGTGCTCTCTCTGCATGTGACCTCCCTACTCACCTCCTCAGATTACGGATTGGCCATTGAGGGGTGTTCTTCCTTGAAGAGGCAACGTAGGAGGAGATCCTGGTGAGGCTGGCGTGGTCTCAACCCCTCCATTTCTGGTCACCCCACTTCTGCCAAGGTCCGGGCTTGTGTGTATCCCCTGACGTGACAGTTTAGGGGGTCCCTGCAGCGTGAGCTATTTCCCCCCTGTAGGGCCCACATGCCCCCGACCCCCACCCCCAGGCCTTTACCGGGGTCTCTCTGGGCCACCTGTTTCTACGTCCTGCCTCTCCCTCAGCGATCCTGGCCTCTGCTGAGTCACGGAGAGTCACTGCCACCCGCGGTCCTGGTGTCCCAGTGTGGAGGAGAGAAACTTGACCCAGAGAAGGACGGATGCCTTGAGTCATTCTCGAAAGTTTCACCGTCCTGGGTGGTCGCATCCAATGGCTCTCGTCGGCTCACGTCCACACTCTGGCTGCCACAGGCAGGAAGAGGGAGCGCCTGCCCCTCTCACCTCCCGAGCGGGAGATAGGCCTGGCCTTGCCCCCTTCTTGGGATCAGGCAGCCGCAGGA